TATATCATGCTACACAAGTGCATAGAAACTGCTAGATGAAAACTACACCAACTGGATGCAGTGGCCTATCTTTGACACATTTTCGGATCAGGATTTAGTTTGTTTGCGAATTATCTCCATTAACTACTCCATTTATGATTTTCAAAACTTCATAGAGTAATAAAACCGATCCGTACTTAAGCGAATCGATCTTTGGACTTAAGAATAGCTAGATTTTCTTCAGTAAGTATGTAGTTTAAAATTTGTTTTGTCCTATAGACATTTTACTAGAACTGTAAATGCGATACTGGGGACTCCAGAGTTTATGTGAAATAATAATAATAGTAATATATTTCTGCATGAGCAGGTACACGCCATTTTTACAGACATGATCTACAAATTACAACATTTGTCGGCGTACAACATGTTTCCGAACTTATTAAGTTTATAGTTGTTATAAAGTAGACTTGTAGAGCGCTTGCTGTAAACCATGACCTTGAGGGGACGCGTACGTCAAGTTTGTTTTAGACGTCAGGAGTTCCATAGCCGTACCCTTAGAGCAAGACTGTGAAGGAAAAAAGAGAGACAGAAGAGCAGCAAGGCATTTGGATACGAACGCTAAACGTTGCTGAACATTGTGTAGTAGAACAGGCAGAGGTATAATAAATTAGATTACATTCATATTATCTCTTGTTAGATTGAAATGAAGTCAGAGGCCCCATATAAGAGAATGTTTTAATAAAGAACAATGAGTTGTGATGTTTAGCAAGTTGGAGTAAGCTCACATGAAGGAAGGGAGGTCAAAGTTGGTATAAGGAAAGCGGTTTATTAGAAGGGAGTGTGCATATAGAGAGTGAAGTGTTAAGAATACTGATGACTATATCTTTCATTGTCTGATTTTTTCTTTCTTTTCTTTTTCTGTTCATCCGTTGCCGGCCACACAATCCTTGTGTAAAAGGCCGAGTTAGGATGTTATAGTTTGTCTTATTAGAACAGCTAATCCAGCATAAAATCGGAAACATGAGCTGTAGTCAGAACAAAGACAACTCGCCCGTAAATTTTATTCGTTTCTAAACAAAGAAATAACAACCTGATTAGTACAGTAGTTAAAGGAATTCTAGTCATAAATTTGAACGCACGGACATATCGACCGGTATTGCGTGTCTTATACAAAGGGATAAAAATCATGAGTCACAATAATATAATAGGATAATAATGTCCTTTAGCTGGCAGGCCACATGTAACAGGGATAGCCTACAGACACATCAGACCACATTGATGTGGCGGACGCTTAAACGACAATCTGATTGGTTAGTTATGGACATGACTAACAGGTAGTGTTCTCTAGACAGGTGATACATAAGGAGATTAATAAGAGAGGTAAAAAGTCGGTCTGTAGGGACATTTGTTCTCAACCGAACGGTCCTTGAAGCAGAACATACGATAACAGAAAATTTGAATTCAATATTTTGCACTAAAGTGAAGTTCAGAAGTGATGAACGTGGGAACACTTGATCGTTATGGTATGGCTCAGCCATGCACGCATGGTCACTCTCTGTAACTCATCCCTTTCCATATTAAATATAATATATCCCCAGCCTAAATGTATCCTTCAGGAATGCCAGACGTCATTTTGTTAATTGTCATGGTAGGACAAGTCAGTATAGACAATGATGTGACTTTCATGTGAGACCATGTAGATTAGGTAGCCACATTATAGCCAATTTACGATCTTGGGATTAGGTCTATTACTCTAGTAGCAAAAACAAATGTAATTAATACTGAACTTCAGATCCACTCATTCCTTCAGGATACTGAGTTAGATTCCATAGAAGTCTGAGGATTTAGGGAGCTTTAAGTGTTTCAAGATCTTAGTGATTTTGACAAGTACAAACTCTACTATACACGCTCTAACAATGAAGAACAAACCATCTCTCGAGAGACGGCATAACAACTGTTTGCGCCGACCTTAAATAATGTGAATTATTCAGTCGGTGCATTCCAAAACTTTCTTTTCTACAGTATGTAAAGCGATGTTTTAAGTCCGTCAAGTAAGGCATCATTCAGCATAGGATTGAGACTAGTAGTATTTAACTTGTTAGGCATTTCGAGCCTTAGGGTATTAAGCCAACAACTAGCTATTTAGCATGCATTACTTTCGTAAGATAGACAATTGGAAGAGTTTAGGGACAAGTCATATTCTTTTTTGGATTCATCATTTGGATGTAGTCAATGAGTAGTTGTGTTAGGAGGAAAACAAAGTGACTCATTGATTTCTGTAATTACAACATTTTTGAGAAAGGTAGTCGGAACTCAAGGGGCATTCAAAATATATGACTGTATCTGGTCATTTTGTAAATATAACTAATGATGAGCATTGAAAACCACTTCAGAAGTGTTTTAGAATTTCCGTACCGTAAGAAGCTGTTCACCATTTACAGCATGAACCAATTACTAGAGGGCATTAGTGGACTAGCGTTTCTATACTTGTGACGATTTTGTGACGGTGGTACTCAAGTAAGGCAAGAACGTGAAGCCCTACGGCATTTGTAAGGATGAGATCGGAAGATTTCACTTATGGTGGGATATAAGCATACAAGAATATTCATAACAGACATTAAGTACCGGTAAATCATGGAAGCAAATATGACCACTTAGAGCCAGTTAAAGTTATTTGCTCAAAATATTCGATTGGTAAGCAAATGGATTTACTCCTACTAGTTCGAAAACTTATTACATTTCAGTTGAAGTGGGACGTTTTTTGCAGATAAGTTCATTTAAATCAAGTTTGGTTAGCCCTGAATCAGTTCTATTGATAAAATTTTAACTTTCTGAATAAAAGATCTATACAAGTTTTGAGCCATGACGCATTTATTACGTAATCATTTGGTCCAGATTGCCAGGCGAAACGTTGGAACTACTTCAAATTCTTTCGCCGGGATTTTACAAATACATTCTTTTTTTAATGTCTCACATTGACTCGGCGCCCAAATATTGTGAAACTATTCGTACAAATTTAGACGAAAGTTCTTAATATCATTTGGGTATCGTTTGTATTTTCTTAAATTACAAACTTCATCTTATTTCAGTCAGCTACAACGTAGGACCAGGCACATATATCCATCGGTCCAAGTTGCCATACCTCATCAACACCACCAGATGAACACTGAATTGATAGAAGTAATTAACTCAGTCGTGGTAATATATAAAAGAAACATTGCACATAAGAACATAGTACAGGAAGAAAGAATTAGTTGGTAGAAAAAAATATATGAAATGATTTTAACCTCTTAGTTTAAGGGAAGACAGAGAGTGTATACACCGACGCCATTGTGATCGATTCTCAACCATGTCACCCACAGTCTCCAACTATTAGTTACGATAGTTACGCGGATCCCAATTAAGTAGTCTGCACCCACCAAGATGGTTCAGACTAGAAATTAGTGACTTTGTGGACTGATTCCACGTTTTGGTTTGGTTGCCTCTAACTTTCTTCCAACCATCATTAACACTAGTTAGTCTTGCGCGTTGTAGTAATCGGTGTTCAGGCATACGTAACACGTTGCCCAACCATCTCGGTCGATGGCTTTTCTTTTGAGTTATAGAATTTTGTTTGATGTGATTAGCTTCAGTAGTTCTATGAGTAAATAAAAGTGATTCTACTGTAATCAGTAATTTAACAATCTTATAGTATTGTTGTTGAGATTTCATGTTATTCTGTTTATTTCTTCATAACGTGATGCAACGTATATTGATATTAACCCTTTAATGTCGAAGCAAACAATTGAGTAACTTTTAATGTCAAGTTTAATTTAATTCGATGTAATATCAGTTAAAAAAATAAGTATATTCATGAGAAACTTAATATATTGTAAGTTAGTCAATACAAATACCATGACTATTGTCAGTGTTTATTATTGTTTATATATTTATACCACTGAAACGGCGTCCGACGGTGTTAATTTATAACTTCAACTAATCCACGAAATTGAGCGACACATCCACCATTGTCCTCTGACAACTGACCCAGTACTCACTTAATTACTTACGCTTGTTACTCCCAATGGAGCATAGGCCGCCGACCAGCATTCTCCGACCCACTCTGTCCTCGCCATTTCTTTCCAGTTCTATCCAATTTTTGTTCATTCTTCTCATTTCTGTCTCCATTTCTCGGTGTAATGTGTTCCTCGATCTTCCTCTTTTCCTTTGGCCTTGAGGATTCCAAGTGAGGGCGTGCCTTGTGATGCAATCGAGTGCTTTCCTCAATGTGTGTCCTATCCAATTCCAGAGCTTATTCCTGATTTCTTCCTTCGTTGAGATCTGGTTTGTTCTCTCTCACAGTAGGTTGTTGCTGATAGTATCTGGCGAACAGATCTGATGTATTTTGCGTAAACAACTGTTAATAAACACTTGTGATTTCTGGATGATGGCTTTCATAGTTTTCCAGGTTTCCGTCCCATACAGTAGAACTCTCTTGACATTTGTATTGAAAATTCTGAGTTATTTGTTGGTTGACAGTTGTTTTGAGTTCCAGGTGTTCTTCAGTTGTGTATGTGCTGCTCTTGCCTTGCCGATTCGAGCCTTCACATCTGCATCAGATCCACCGTGCTCACCAATGATGCTGCCCAGTTATGTAAAGGTTTTTACATCTTCCAAATCTTCTCCGTCAAGTGTGATTCCATTCGTGTATGTTGTGTTGTATCGGAGAATCTTGCTTTTCCCTTTGTGTATATTGAGACCTACTGCTTATCCAGTCTTGGGTTCAAATCCCGCGTGGAGTATTGTGGATGCGCACTTTTGAGGAGTTCCACAGTAGGACGAAACGACCGTTCAGTGCTTTCAGGTTTTCCATGGTGGTTTAGCTTCAATTGACTCATGATCTCATGTATTGAAATTACAACAATCTTCACAAAAGCCCTTCTGATAATAATAGGTATATTCATGAAAAATTTAATATATTGTAATTTAATCAGTACAAATACCATGACTGTTATAAGTATTTATTATTGTTTATATATATTTTAAGAGAAAACTAAAAGGCGAGTGGCTTGAAGTAATTTGTTTACAGTTTTAAAATATTTTAAATCTATCTCTTCAACTCGTCGTTTACCTTCGTCACATCCAAAATCCATATACATGTGATAAAAATCTGCATGGAACTATAAAACGTTAGAAAACAATATGAAAACAAAAACAACATTTAACGTAAGTACTATGAATGATCTAAAAATCGTTAGTCAGAAAAACGTTTAAGGTGAAATGGACACCCAGTTTATGTGGCGTCATTTCGATACACCGTTTACAGAGACAGCTGAGTAATCTTAACACCATTGGATGCCGGCTCAATGATCCAGTAGGTTAAGCGTTCGCGCGCAAGACTGAAGGCCGCGGGTTGGAATCCCGCGAGTGGGATCTTGGATGCGGACTGCTGAGGAGTCCCACAATAGGAAGAAACGGCCGGCCAGTGCTTCCAGGTTTTCCATGGTGGTCTAACATCAATCAGTTCATGATTGCAATCAAAAACTTAACAATCTCCACAACCCCTAAACTGATAATTTTCGTTTCATCAACTTTCATTTCAGTACATATAACATTCCTCTTGAATTGATGGTATCTTATTCTTTGGCTACTGTTAATTGACTGTTGACAAATGAAGACACGAAATATAGTTTCTTCTGTTATATGATTTGCCCGAAGGTCACTGTTCATAATCTGTCTGTGAGGATATGGATCCAATGAAAATGAAGTTTTTCAAGTATCTAGAATACATTATTTCAAAACATTATTGTAATGAGAAATAATGATGTTAGGAAATTCGGTAGGACTACATTTTATGGACGTTTTCCAATCATCGGTATCTATCGTACTACCAGGCTGCACGTACTGTAACTGTTACTGGTGACTTCATAATCCAATTTGCAACAATTATCATGATTTGCCTTAGTCTGAGTCGTGATCGAGCGAAGAAAATGCCAGTTCGAGCAGATTTTATCTTCTAACATATAGTACAACGAAAGCTAATGTCATCACGGTAGTCTGCACATCGTGCTGCAGTCATTTGATTGCCGCATTCACAGATACAGGAACTTCTTAATAGTCCCATTTGTTGTAGTCGCTCAAAAATCACCTCTTCTCTAAAATCTGCTGTAAAACGATCGAATGTGAGCATCTCGTATTGAACTTAGCGCCGTGACCTTGAAACTCCCCAAACGCTTCTGATTGGCTCGTCCATAAATTAGAGTCTTACCGGAAATTTATTTATTGAAGTTAGGTATATTAGTACTTACAGATTGATTAGGATTAGATAATGGACTGAATTGTTCATCATATTCTTTCATTTCTAATTGTTGAACCTTTTTCCTGGTTACACTATACACTTTCCATGATTCCTACATAAATAAAATTAATCTTATATAAACACAGATTGATAATTAGACAGGGTGTGTGTGTGTGCATGCTATATGGTATGGTGATGTAAACTTGAAAGTTAATGGGTATGGATTATTTAGTGCTGCTCTTTATCTAGAGTAAAAATCTGTTGAATATTGAATGAAATATAATTATCAAGTTGAGAGTTTAAAAATTAGGTTTTTAAAATAGATCAGATGAAAAGTTTATGGTTAAGCATTTTAGCCCATTGCACAATCTAGTAGCTATCTGAACTCAGTACCTAAGTGAATAACATGATGATGTTTGAAACGAACGGTAATGGGTTCCAGTTCCGAAGTGAACATTAATCCTGAGATACAGGTAAATCCAGTTAAAGAGTCCCAAATTGGACAAAACAGGCGTCCTAGATTCTACTGCTAGCTATCATCAATCTATGCTTATAATTTTGAGTTGAGTTATGAAAATGTCTATTATCTGATTGATAGTAGGCATCAAGTATATTTAATGTAAGAATATTATGAGATTCATGCAATGTAAATATACTACTTATTAATAACTAATAATTTATTGCATAATTTTCTTAATGGTAATTTATTCACTAATTTTAAGTCAGTCACTATTTACTGATTAGTAGACAATCATTCGACCATATTGAACCAGTTAGTTTTTCTTTTCATTTTGGTTTATTACAGAACTGAAAGTTGTTGTTGATTTTATCATCTCAAATCTAAGTTTATGACTGAAAGTAATATATTTATGTACAAGGAGGCACCAAATAGATGTGTGCCACATAAATCATTCCATTTATGTGAGGGTCGGGATACTGCCCGGGTGCCTAAAACGAAACAGGTGGTTTTTTAGGGGTCCACACCCGATGCCTTTGACCTAAAGGTCTAATCCATAAGGCGGCGGGTCAAAGTTAGGAAATGCAATCCCATGGTAGACGGCGACCAATAATTAGTTCATACGTCATTTGTTTCCTTAGGATCCTGAAGCCCATGTACACCATTAGTTTGTAATCAGGGTTTTCCAGTCAGCTCCTCTAGATGGGTCCACCATATCCACTAACCTGGTTAAAGAGTCGGACATTTACTTTTCGTCTTCTCACTTTCGTAAACAACACCCTGATCAGGAGAAGGCAGTGATTATGCAGTGGTTATATGCAAGTGGCTATATGAGAGCATTCGGAGAGGGAGAGCCGTACCATAGCATTTAGGGGCGGTCAGTGAAATTTATAGCAAATGATAAATATAATTAATTAGTATTACCTCATCAACTGAATCTTCATGATCTATGTGTTCAACAGCTGTTACAATGATTGTATGATCATCATGACATTCACTATTCCATCTTGACCAACCAAAAGCCATGGATGGACTTAATAATGCCATATGTTGATATAGATTTTCTTCAACAAGACGATTCTAAACAATCAATTCATGTTTTAATGAGGAAATATTTTTGTTGAATAGAATACATTTTTTTAAGGTTTTATTCTAAAATATTTAGGTATACCATGATCATATTATTGTAGTCAACTTACATTGCTTGAGAAGAGATAGACTATAACAGAACATATGTAATGCATTGAGTATGCTACAGGTCAAATGAGCACCTGGCGCCAGACTGATAGGTCCTGGGTTCAAATCTCGCGGGGTGCGGGATCGTGGATGCGCACTGTTGAGGAGTCCCATACTAGGACGAAACGGTCGTCCAGTGCTTCCAGGTTTTCCTTGGTGGTCTAACTTCAATTGACTCATAATTTCAATCTGTGAAAATTTCTAAAATCTCCACAAACCCCTGCTGTATTGTGATATATTTTATGGCCGCTTCTTAGAAGAATCCCAATCTTTTAGTATACATATCATTATTAAAAATCTTTAGTTGATGTACATCGTAAATTATAGCTCATCTAGAGGTTTTTATGAAGGATTCCATATGTTTAAGTATATATATATATATATATATATATATATATATATATATATATATATATATATATATATATATATATATATATATATATATATATATATATATATATAGTATATATATATATATCCATATTCTGAATCATTCTTGACTGATTCATTTGAACATTGTACTAATAGCTAGATGGTAAATAGTTTTACTCATTTGTTCAATGGTTCTAAGAAAGATATCATTCAAATAACTATTGAGTTTGCAAATTCTTCATCTGTTATGTTCGATAACTTGAATGCTACTACTGATTCGTTTTACTCGGAACGGAACGAAGAATCAAGGATTCAGAGAATCGATAGGTTATACTGGCCCGACTCAGCTAACTCGACCCAGAAGTCTTGATAAGATGTAGAAAATGTATTCCACAGACAACCAGAAGATACCAGGTTCATCAGGCACACACATCATGCGTATTTATTCAAATATATATAATCGATATTGTCATGGAAGTTTTTAACCATTTAATTGATAAGTTCGTCGATCGACTATATGCGTGGGTGGTATGAAATGCCCTAATGTCCCCAACATCATCTTTATTTATGATGAAGTGAATAGTTGGAAACAATAATCGATGTACACGGCGAACATTTTAGTGTTGATTATGGTTACTTCTTTTGGTGGCGTGGGACATTCCCAGCTAGATAAATATGGTTTTAGAACCTTCACTGTAGTTTGAAGTAGTTTTATTGACGTATAATTCTAACTGAAAGAAGATTCTTGAAATCCATCCACAAGTATCGAATTAGTAGCTTCATGTCTTTTTTTACTCTGTTCGATTGTTTCGTTAGACTAACCTTGTTATTATGAATTGATAGATTGGACTAAGAAATGATACGAGTTCCCGAGTTCTACAATCTTGTTAGCATTCTCAAAGTTTCCTTCGTCTAAAATTCTGATATTTTTCTAGTCGAGTTCGTTTCCGTAATTATCTAAATGTATTCATGAGACATCGTGTTCTTGTTTACACAGATACCATATTATACTTCTTGTGGTTGGCAAAAGGTTCGTCTTCTGTAGTTTCTATGTCCTTTGATTCATTTACAAGAAACAGGAATTTAATGATTCCATAAAACCCAAGTTGCAACCGTCGAATTGGTTCCAACTATTTTAAGACTTCTAGATTTTGAGTGTTTAGGCATAATTTTTTGATGCTAGACATCCTTGATGAAGTTATAAGGGTAGTCTTTTTTTAATGGTAAATAGGCAAAGTATGTGTTTATTCATTTTTATCGAGATGAGATTCCTGTATGAGTATTTTTGTTAGAATAAAATGAAAAGATGAGTTGCAGATGTATTGCATTTATGATATAAAGGTTAATGATACTATGATGTATACTACTTATGTCGACGGACATAAGTAATATGTAACATCAATAGAAAGTTTAAACCCTAGCAAGCAGCAGAAGGCTAAGAAGATCAAGTTGAAGAGAACAGAAAAGAATTACGAATAGAACAAATCATTCAGAATGTAAAGGACAAACGATGGAAATTTACAATGAAGTATTCAGTGTATGGTTCTCATATTCTACCAAGACTTTCTGTTATTTTGAATTAAAGTACATTGTTTACCCCCCCTCCCCACTTGTATTTTTGTTTACAACAGTACTACAGGACGGATTTGTGTCTATACCTTACAGTGTCTTCTTGTTAAATTAGATTATATATTTTAAGAGAAAATCTATATTGAAGACTAAAACAAAAAAAAGTGTACAAACCTTGTTAAGGCAATCAATTCTACTGACTGAATCTTCTCTAGGAAATATATTCATACCTGATTGTTGTAATACAGTGATTAACTCATTTAATGTAAACCATTTACCCCATAAATGATTTAATTCTCGTTTAGAATGTTTTAATATATCTGTATCATTTCTCTCAGTTACATTTATACCTTTACTTGATCCATTAATCATTGAACTATCACCACCAATTCCTTTTATTGTTTCAGTTACTGGAATACTTGGAAGTATTGATATTCGATCACCTAAAATATGTAATCGAAGTTCAATACAACCACCCATTATAATTAATAAACATTGATTTGTTATTGAGGATGATTGTAATATTGATTGATATTCATCATTAGATAAACCAAGCGTTGTTACAGGTCCAAGAATGATACATTCAGTCGATTTATCCGTAATACCATTCTGATTGTGTTCTATTCCAATTGGTTCAGGGGAACTAGCTGTCTAGAATAAAGAATAAGTAATGAAAAAGTCGTTATATGGAGTATAATACGCAAGAGTTAAGCATAAAATTCCTAGAGCAATATATTCAGTATTATAACGAATTCATATCTCATACCGATTTATAAGTATGTAATATAGGCTTATCATTCACTTTGATCTGTAAACTTTTCTAATCACCTATGCCGTCAGTATATTTTCTTTTGTCATAGAATGGTATTTAAATGAGTTTCAAAGTAAAGGATTTCTCGCTTTTTTAAAATATTTTAGTGGCCCTATATCTGACTCCAATTAAATCGTTATCGAAATATACATTTCGCCAATCGTCGTGTATAATCATCGACTTAAATCGCGTTAGTGAATAACGGAATTAAATAAGTTCAATACGAGAATGAAGTTTTGAATACGTATATCTTGTACAATCGTTGGTCGAAAAGAGAAGCAGTCAGCTACAACGTAGGACCAGGCTCATATGTGTATCGGTCCAAGTTGCCATACCGCATTAACACCACAAGATGAACACCGAAATCATAGAAGTAGTTAATTCAAAGGTAGTAATATATAAAAGAAAAATTGCATATAATGATATAGTACAGGAAGAAAGAATTAGTTGGTAGAAAGAAAGATATCAAGCGATTTTAATCTTTTAGTTTAAGGGAAGACAGAGAGTGTATACACCTACGCCATTGTGATCGATTCTCAACCATGTCACCCACATTTTTCAACCATTGGTCACGATAGTCACGCTGACACCAACCAAGTAGTCTGCATCTACCAACATGGCTCAGACTAGAAGTTAGTGACTTTGTGGACTGATTCCACGTCTTGGTTTGGCCTCCCCTAACTTTCTTCCTACCATCTCCAACAGTAGTCAGCAAAACTAAATGAAGCGCAATCGAGAAGGCGAGTGAGCCAACTTAACTTAGCCAAGTGTGAGTCGGCATTTATAGTTGAACAAAAATAAGTTAGAGATACATGATGTATAAGGTAAGTAATTAGCACATATACGCTCATATAAAAACAGTCAAGGTTGATAATCGAATAATTAACAAGGTCAAAATGCAACTCTAGAAGAATGAATAAATTGGTCGTACAATATTTATTTGTACTGACAGTAAATTCTTGACTTCATATATTCAACTAAACTAGAATAGTTCGTGAGTCTATAACTTATGGACGACTTTTGAACGACGCTAAATTGACCTTGAGAGTGTCCACCTAATAACCAGGACCAAATGAAGGTTATAAACCTGTGTGAGAAATTAAAATTATGATTTACAGTTGATGATTAAGGTTAGAAATTAGATTTAGGGTTTTCATCATGAATTGACATCATCTATAATGCCAAAGAGCTATTTAGCCAAATGAATGAGTGAATTTCGTGCGAAAAATCCGAGATCTATTATCTTATACGTGATTGGTTTTTCCATAAATTACAGTCTCGCTGAATAGTTAACTCACTATCGATTCGTTTTATGATGTTTCTGAAATCTTAGTGAAAAGATATGACTGGCAGAGTTCGAGCATATCAAGAATAAAATAGCTGTCTTCAATGAGGGTTCAATGATCATCACTCTTTAGTTAAATTGATTGAAATTGAAACTGGACTACCATTCTAATAACTAAGGGTTCATCACAAAACTTAAAGATTCTGACTTTGAACTCGAACGTGATTTTGTCTGAGCTATGTAAATGAGATCTAGTTTCAATGTATCAATCAATTACAAACTATGAATTATATAATATTAATTTTTAACTTACAATCACTTCTTGATTCATTGGCTTATTTGATTTCGTAATAGGTGTAGTTGATTTGATCATTGTAATTGATTGATGTTCATTTGTTATTAAAGAGTTTTTAATATTTGTCGGATCATTTATTGGATCTGAATGAATTGATTGTACTGTTGTATTGATTAGATCATTTCTTCTTAATGGTAATGGACGTAATTCCCAATACTGAAATAAAGTTCAGTCAATCATTAACTTAGTGTATACTAGTTCAAACTAGTTCAAACCAATGGGAGACACAACCAAAACAAAGAAGTAAACACTGACAAATTTAAGGTCACTAAGAACCAATCAACGTCATGGTGTACAGAACAAGCTGTGAAACGTATATGGAGAAATTCGAACACTTCACTTCTATCTAAAATTTTTGCTGCTGATGATGTCGTTCAGAAGAACGATGAAAGCTCCACGACCAAACCATCCAGCTCAGAGAACAAAACTCCACCAAAATTAACATGTTTCATAGTTTAAGATGTTTTAGAGATAAGATGGTTAAAGGTAGTCGGTAGGAATTTCATGTTAGTTGGAACTCGTCAACAATATGTACATGGAATCTTGATGAAACTAATACCAAGTCAGGCAGTCTGTAACTCAACAACGCTACTACTAAGCTTTCAGGGCTACAGATAAATGTTAGTAGGAACAAGATATTTATACATTGATTGATGATTTAGTCATTTAAACAGAAAGAAGCAACTTAGGATGTGATTAAAGTACTTATCAACTCAACACAGACCTATTCATGTGATAAGGAAAACGAATTAAAAGATTTAACATGAATGGCAAGACATATAACATTAACCTTCATTAATAAATTCCTTTCATTTTTTAAACACTATCAAGGAAATTGGAAGTTGCTTAATACTTGTGAAATGAATAGTAAGCGAGTTGGTATACTGATGCATTATGTGACTATGGTCACTTTAATATTTCAAAAGGGATTTTATGGAGATTGTAGTAATTTCAATAGTTGAGATCATGAGCCAGTTGAAGGTAGACCATCATGGAAAATCTGGAAGCACTGGATGGCCTTTTCGTCCTATTGTGGGAGTCCTAAGTAGTGCGCATCTACGACGCCGCGTCAAGGGATTTGAACCCAGGACATATCAGCCTCGTGCGCGAGCGCTTAACCACTAGACCACTGAGCCGGTATCCAACGGTGTTAATGTCTAACTTCAACTAACCCACGAAATTGAGCGACACATCCACCATTATCATATTTGATGAAAATTAGCCACTATATTACATTGTACTATATATCAAACGTATATTTCATTTATCTAACCAACTGACTTCACTTTGCATAGAACTACGTACGTAACTTCAACACTGATTCTTTGGCTTTTTAAATGTGGAAAGATTATTCTTGGTGAACATATCTAAACTATAGATTCCGAATGTATTTTAGTTTCGAGGGTATATTCTACGATAGAAACACAGGATTATTTCAGATAATTGTCACTAACCTCTTAACACTAAAATTACAGATATCGCGAAATAATATTGCCTCCAAATGCCCTGGTACGGCCAAGAGTGGGGAGAGTCAGCTCTCCCTCTCCAAATGCTCTCAAGTGGCCACATGCATACGACCACTGTCAAGGAAGTTCTACTCACTGTCTTCCCACAGCTGAGGTATTTTTTTACGAAATTGAGAGGACGAAAAGTGAGTGTCCGACACTTTAACCAGGTTGGTGGATACAGAAGATCTATCTAGGGGATTTAGTTGGAAAACCCTGATTCCAAACTAATGGTGTACATGAGCTCCAGGATCCTAAGGAAACAAATGGCGTACGCATCTATTGTTGGTCATCGCCTACCATGAGACTGCATCTGCTAAAGTTGCTCCCATGCCTTGTGGATTAGACCTTTAGGTCAAAGGCTTCAGGTGTGGCTAAACAATGTTAATAAACTGTTATGATCATGACTCAGTGTCATCATAAGGACGGTTTATCAATGTTAAATTTCAACAGTTAATCCAAGTTAGACAATTAAAAAAAAGTCTTTTCATATCATTTAACTCTGTAACAAAGTAGAGATTTATCTCTAGTTTTACTCTGGACTGATACTGTAGTGAACGACAACACAAATAGAGACAACCAAATGTATTTGAATACAAAATTACTTAATTTGAAAAATGATAATCAATCGTCTTAGATGTCATTGTTCTTTCGTTTTTACAGCAATCATTCCTTGTTATCGTTCTTCTTCCTTCGATCTTCTTAACCTTCTACCTCTCGTCATTTCACTTTCGATTAATGATACATACTACTTATATCTATCGACATTAGTAGCACACACCATAATACAATTTAGCTAGTTAAATCCAATCAAATGTAATAAGGTACGGGATTTATGACTATCTGATCCATTAGAAAATATAATACAAAGAACTAGAGAACATTTACAATAGAAATAAAAGGATTATTACTCAATTGATTCACTTACTTGAAATGGCATATTAATATGAAAATCTTGAAATATAGCCATTGTACCAAATACACTTGTATTAAATACGATAGTATTATCATCTTCATTAAATTTAATTAATTGAATACCTGTTGTACGCCACTGTAATTTCTCTGGATCCCATCTAGCTAATAAAGGATCTTCTACAATGATTATAGATTTCGGTATACTAAAAAGATAGAACAAGAAGAGAAACTGGTAATTTCTAGATATCAGACAAATATTGTTAGTTCTAATAGCAATCATAATAATAAAATTACTGTTACTTAATCAGGGACGGCATGATTATTGGAACCAATGATTGGAGATGTTGTATGACGAGGCTGAGAATAGGTATCAGTGAAGTGTGTTGATTCAATCTCGATCTTCTCTTAGAGCCTAAGTTTTAGAGCTATTTTGTCCTTTACATTCCGATAATTTTTTTTACTTTACTTTACTTTACTTACGATTAATACTTTCAGTGAAGCATAGGCCACCGACCAGTATTCTCCAACCCACTATATCCTCGGCTTTCCTTTCCAGTTCTATCCAATTCTTGTTCATTCTTCTCATTTCTGTCTCCGTTTCTCGTCGTAATGTGTTCTTTGATATTCCTCTCCTCCTTTGGCCTTGAGGATTCCAAGTGAGGGCATGCCTTGTGATGCAATCGAGTGCTTTCCACAATGTGTGTTCTATCCAATTCCAGCGTCTATTCCTGATTTCTTCCTCCGTTGAGATCTGGTTTGTTCTCTCCTACAGTAGGTTGTTTCTGATAGTATCTGGCCAACGGACAGACAACTGTTAATAAACACTGGTATCTTCTAGATGATGGCCTTCGTAGTTCTCCAACTTTCCGCCAAATACAGTAGAATTGTTTCGGCATTTGTATTGAAAATTCCGAGTTTGTTGTTGGTTGAAAGTTGTTTTGAGTTCCAGGTGTTCTTCAGTTGTATATATGCTGTTCTTGCTTTGCCGATTCGAGCCTTTCACATCTACATCAGATCCACCGTGCTCATCAACGATGCTGCCCAAATATGTAGAGGTTTTTACATCCTCCAAATCTTCGTCAAGTGTGATTCGATTGTTGTATGCTGTGTTTTTTCCCTTTGTGTATGTTGAGACCTACTGCTGCTGAGGCTGTTGCTACACTGATAGTCTTCTCCTGCATTTGTTGGTGAGTGTGAGATAGAAGAGCCAGATCATTTGCGAAGTCTAGATCGTCCAGCTGCATCCCAGCTGTCCACTGTATCCCATTCTGATAATTACTTACCTTTTTCTCGAGTTCTATCGGTTATGATCAATAATATTTTCTTTACTATAATTGATACGTTTACAACTGTTTCTACCTGTTCGGTATTCATCTTCATCAATTCGTGTCGTTGTGTTTATGTTACATCTGACTAAATTAGACATATATGAGATCATTATTTGTTTATGAATGATTAATTCAATTGTTATATAATCAGTAGAATCGAATTGAAACTATGAGGTATAGAAACATGACATTGATTGCCATTTAATTATCAGTTAGTGTAAATACCGATCTTACAGAAGATCAATTATGACCAAGATATCTTAGTAGTAACGTCACTGATTATGATACGCAGTGAATGTATATACATTTTGTTGATTAGTCTCAATGAACACAAAATATTGATCAGTGAGTGTTGCCTATTAGTTATCATGGACCAATTAATGTCGTTTTAAATATATTTACAAATCCAGAACCAAGTTCAATTTGTTATTTAACAATTTACATGAGAAGTATTTTGTACAAATTGAAGAGCTGACATTCATGAAGTCAGATTAGAAGATTCAATCTAATAGTGCAAAATGTTGCTTCTGGATTGGGTTACATCGACACCCGAACTAGTGATAGGGAGTGAAGTAGTTGAGTGTGTCGACCGCTCCACTTATCTTGGAAGTCTCATCAGCCCTTGTGGTCTGGTGTGTGACGAAATCTCAGCACAGATACAGAAGGCTCGACTAGCTTTTGCCAACTTGCGTCATTTATGGCGTAGGCGAGATATCCGTCTTTCAACCAAAGGACGGGTTTACTGCGCAGCAGTTCGTTCCGTCCTACTTTATGGCAGTGAGACATGGCCGGTAAGAGTAGAGGATATTCGTAGGTTAGTAGTATTCGATCATAGGTGTCTTCGAACCACTGCTCGTATATCCTGGGTCCATCGAGTAATTAATGCGGTTGTTAGGAAACGGGTACTAGGTAAGGATGGTAAATCAATTGATGAAGTAGTGAAACTTCATCAGTTGAGATTGCTGGGACACGTGTTACGTATGCCCAACCACCGACTGCCTCGACGTGCGATGTTCAGTGGTATAGGAGTAGGTTGGAAGAAAGCTAGAGTCGGCCAAACCAAAACATGGCACAAGTCCATGAAGTCACTGACAAGTGAACTGAGTCATGTTGGTAGGTGTAGACTACCTGGTTGGGGACCGCGAGATGATAGCAACCGATGGTTAGAGACCTTGAATGACATGGCTCAAAATCGTTTGCAATGGCGCAGGTTCATCCACTCTTTGTGTTCTCCCAAATTCTAATCTTCTGAATTCTCCATGTCCCTTTTTTCCTCTTTCCAAATTTATTTCACTGGATTATACTCTTTAAATAACATCTCCAAACACTAATCTTCCCGATTACTGCTTATACTCTTGCTACCTCTACCGCTACGGGATTTGAATCGACCACTGCATCTCTGTGCTAAGGTGGTGTGGCAACTCGAACTGATGTACGTACGTACGAAGTTCTACGTTGTTACTGACTGACTGACTGATATATTCAAGATATGCTCATTTATTGTAGATCTTAATCAACCGATCAATAAATTGAGTATTGAGATGGTAGAGAAGATTTATAGCTCAGATGGATGATTGTGATAGAGTTTTGTTCTCTGAGCTGGATGGTTCAGTCGTGGAGCTTTCATCGTTCTTCTGAACGACATCATCGTTGAGAAGAACGATGAATGCTCCACAACCAAACCATCCAGCTCAGGATGGTGTATTATAATTTGTAAATCACTTATTAATTATTTATACTCCAAAGGTATACTTTCAGTTAGAATTTTAGCTTCGATAATTATCATTTTATCAGAAGGGGTTTTTGTGGAGAATTTAGAAATTCCAATGCTTGAAATCATGAGCCAATTGAAGCTAGACCACCATGGATAACTTGGAAGCACTGGACAGCCGTTTCGTCCTAGCATGGGACTCCTCAGCAGTGCGCATCCACGACCTCTCCCCCTGTGAGACTCGAACCTAGGACTTACTGGTTTCGCGTGCGAGCACTTAACCACTAGACTACTGAGCCGGCATCCAACAGTGTTAATGTCTAACTTCAACCAATCCACGAAGTCGCGTCAATTGACTCATGATTTCAACCAGTGGAATTATCGTTTTATTTGTCATAACACTGTCCTATAAATTTATTTATCATTCCATTGTATACTTTGAGACTTCTATTGTATTTACAATCGTTGTTTACAATGGTTTTTCCTCCCGATATTCATTCATATTAAGACGTAAACCAGATGAATAATTCTTGTATTCAAAATGATTCACCTACACTTATCTCTGAGTTATTGCATAATCATGTAACAGTATATGATCTGTTCGTTCATGACCCAGTATATAAACAATTATGTGAAGATTATTAAATTTGAGATTTATTTTCATTATGCGCCGAGATTAACACACTAGTAACTAGGATCGAGGTGAATGATCAGAGTTCAAATGAGAATCTGTGATTAATCGAGTTCGTACAAATCACTGATTGTTATGCACTATAACACAGACTAGGAAGTACTAGACAAGTATTTCATCTTAGTATAGAACTGATTAATTGTTTGTATCATCAACCCAATCACTGGTCAAATCAAGTATCTTTATGTATCATCGTGTGTGTGTGTGTTTAACATCCAAACTCATGAACTACCATTCAGTGGTTTACATTTTTAACCTCAATAACACATGTGCTTGAGGTTAGATTAACTATATGTCTGACAATTTATCATCCATTGTTGAAGGATAAAAAAAATGCTGCATCATAATATACATTTTACATTCAACTTTATATTACCGAATTTTAACTTGAATTGGTGGTCTTTCTTCTTTCTTCTCTTGTTTTCGTGGGGTTTCTTCCATTACAGATTCATTTTCTGTTTCTTTAATTGTAAGAAATAAACAGAGAATGTAAAAGATGATGTTTCGTACACTCGTTGATTTGGATAGACATTCCGAATGAAAATCAAGAAGGTAAAGGAAAGCGGAGGAGGAGAGTAAGCTAACTTGATTCCATAAAGCGTGACACCATATTTATAATTAGACAAAAATAAGCTACAGATACGTAATGAATAGGGTAAGCAAAAACACATATACACTCATATAAAAACAGTCAAGGTTGATCAGCAAATAACCGACAAGATCAAAATGCGACTCAAAAAGAATGAATAAACTGGTCTGTCCGGAAGCTAGGTTACCCATGTGGACTTGACATGGTAACAAACAGTACAATTATGTAAGTGATTAGCTGAGACTCAGCAAACTGGAAGACAAAAATATGACATTTTTAGTAAGTGAAGCAGGAATCGAGTCTTAGTAAGAGAAGCAATGATGCGATAATGGGATAACCAGCTAATGTGTCAAAATTTGTGCAAAATATTCGTCCTAGGTTACATTACTTTTCACAATTTGAAATATAATATCAATTTTCATTAGAGCCAGACTATAACTTATGAACGAGGTTACGGTGCCTATTTCAATACCCAATACTCATTGTAGATAGGTTTACAGCGGATTTTAAGGACGTATAGGTGAGTGGTTACAATAGGTGGGATAACTAGGAAGTTCCTTTATTTGCGATCGCGGTGTTTGAATGTATGCTGGACATCGTGCAGGCTATCGTGACGATGTTGTATTCGAATCTAATACATATTGGAGCAAAAAATCTCTAGAACGGGGACTTTTTCAACTCAGTCCCGATTGACAGTAAGACAGGTTATGATAATTGTACACTGGATAATGAAAAGCACCAGTGACACTGCCTGCAACCTTTTCAGATGTTACTGAAGCTTCGGTAGTTCAGTAGTATGAATAATATCGAGATAAATGCAAAATGAAAATGATAAGCTTAATCAGTCGTTTGGAGGAATCGGGAGATTCGTGGAAATCGACGAAACAGTGGTAAATTCAATAGAGGAAAAAGTGCTGAAGAAGGCCTGGTAATCAGCATTTCCCTAAGTATACATATGATAAGTCATCTCAAAAGGAACACTTCTAACACATGAGAAACCGACAGGCTACAACGATAATTGTCGATTATACAAGAGTATATGCAGCAAAGTACCCCAATACAAAAGGATGACTGGAGAGCATATCGATGCCTATATAGACTTGGTTACGTGCATCCTATCGTCGTTCAAAAGCGACATTTTATACATCCCACCATGGAGGCACACACTAATTTTCTAGAAGTAATATGGTCAAGGCTAAAAGAATTTTTACGACCATATCATGGCTCCAGAGGTCAACTGTTATGGAGTCATATGGATGAGTTCCTGTACTGTATGCATTACGAGTTCAGAACTACAGCGTCTCTTTCTAACCTCGAAAAGTTTTCAAACCATGTTAAAGAAGTGCATCCACTCTATACTTTTGGATTTGTATAATATATTCCTACTCTATACAAACTTCTCAGGGTCATTTAGGTCTAAGGTCATCCATCATTTATAGTCTCTCCAAAAAGGTTAGATAAATGATTTATTTAATTGAAATAAATGGTTTATGGCTAACAGTGGAACTTAGTACTTTCATCTAATGCTGTATGGGACTCATCAGTTGGATGTACTTGTATCTCAGTATTGAGGCTCACATTCGGACTGAGATTACAGATCTTTCATTTAGGATTTCAACTCATTATACACTGAGCTAATGAGTTTAGATGTTCAAATTTATAAGAAAGAGTTGTATGCTTCTAAGGAACATCAAATCAGAGTGAAATAGCTTAACCCCGATGGTTTTTCAATTGAATTAAGTTTATAATGTAGATCACCTTGAAAATATCTTTAATAATTCTATAATAAAATTAATAACTCACTTATTTCTTCTGATGTATCAACTATATATTCAAATGGATGAAGTTTTGGAGGTTTTACACAAGTTGTAATAGTCCAACCTTTAACTGTTTTAGGTTGTCGAGGTAGAGTAAGCAATTCAAAACGAATAATACCACCAATCACATGATAATCACCTAAATCAATTGCATCTTCTTCCATATCAGCTTTTATCCAATTCTCAGGTTCTAAATAGAATAAACAAAAAAAAAATATTGATTTTGGAAATATTTACATATATATAATGATTAACTGGTATTCAATAGACCATTAGTTGAATAGTGTTCGCTAATGACTTCAAGTGTTGTTTTCTCATACTTTCCAACTCTCAAATAGTCCATATTCATAACCTTAACACAAGGTCAAACAAAAGACCTTCAATTCTTCTAATGGAAAGCGCATACGTTGCGGTCTTTCAAATGAATTTTCATTGCTTAGTCGTTTCCAGTGATTTCTCAACTGATATCACTTACTTAATATCAGTAAATATCATTATCATATTATGATGAAACCAACACAGTTAGTTGGTTTTATGCTTACAAAGAGATATGAAAATGTTTATCAAAAGGGAGGTTTTTGAAAATGTGAGTAATATATAATAGTTGAATTCATCAGTCAATTAAAGCTAAACCACCGTGGAAAACCTGGAAGCGTTTAGGATTGAAACCGATAGGTCCTGAGTTTGAATCTCGCGGAGAGGGATCGTGAATGTGCAGTTGAAATCGTAAAACATTTCAATTAGCAACCTGTTTAAGAATACAAGTTATTGACTAAGTCAACTCTAAAAAGTTGTTCATCACAGACTATATTTACAACATAAGGTATTTTAGAGGTTATATACCTTTGCTTACGTGCATGGATTCCAATTTATTGATGTCCCGTTCTACCAGAAGATATATAAGAAGAAAGATATGAATGAGATGGATGGGTGGTATCTAGTAAGATAACACGTGCTAGGAATTTACAAGACTCTAGATATCTATTCATAACCATATCGTCACAAAAACAGACGAACAATAACAAGCATACGATTCGAGCACTATTCCAGCATGCATTAAGAAGCATCACAGATTGTTTACTGTCACATCGTGATTTTGTTAAAATTCCGCGAACTTGAATAGAATTCATTTGAAGGTAGTAATTAGTTTGGTAGTAAGATTATTGTCAGCTTCAAAATAGATAGTACATGTATGATAGCTTATTGAATTTTCAACATATTAAAACCACATAAGACAACATTTACTTACTTACTTACGCCTGTTACTCCTCGTGAAGGAGCATAGGCCGCTCACCAGCATTCTCCATCCAACCTTGTCCTGGGCAATCCTTTCCAGCTCTTTACAGTTGTAATTCATCGTTTTCATATCTGCTTCTATTATCCGACGCAATGTGTTCCTCTTTTTCGCTTCCCTTCAGGATTCCAAGTTAGGGCTTGCCTCGTGATGCAGTTTGACGATTTGCGTAATGTATGTCCTATCCATTTCCATCGTCTTTTCCTAATTTCTTCTTTAGCTGAAAGTTGGTTTGTTCTCTCCCACAGAAGGCTATTCTTGATGGTATCCGGCCAATGGATGTTGAGTATCTTGAGTAGACAGCTATTTATAAATACTTGTACTTTCTTGATTGTGGTTGTTGTAGTTCTCCAAGTTTCAGCTCCATACAGTAGAACTGCCTTGACGTTCGTATTGAAGATTCTTACTTTGATATTGGTTGAAAGTTGTTTTGAGTTCCATATGTTCTTCAATTGTAGGAATGCGACCCTTGCTTTGTCAATCCTCGCCTTTACGTCTGCATCTGAACCTCCTTGTCCATCGACGATGCTTCCCAGGTATGTGAAGGACTCTACATCTTCCAGAGTTTCGCCATCAAGAGTGATTGGATTGCTGTTTTCCGCTTTGAATTTGAGGACCTTGGTTTTCCCTTTGTGTATGCTGAGGCCTACTGATGCAGATACTGCTGCTACACTGGCTGTCTTCATCTGCATCTGTTCGTGTGTACGTGATAGGAGGGCTAGGTCATCTGCAAAGTCCAAATCGTCTAATTGATTTTGAGCTGTCCATTGTATTCCGTGTTTTCCTTCAGATGTCGAGGTCTTCATAATCCAGTCGACCACCAGGAGAAAAAGGAAGGGCGAGAGTAGGCAGCCTTGTCTGACTCCGGTCCTTACTTGGAATGCATCTGTGAGCTGTCCTCCATGCACTACTTTGCACTGTAGTCCGTCGTATGAGTTCCGGATAATACTGACAATCTTCTCAGGAACTCCGTAGTGTCGAAGAAGTTTCCATAATGTCCTCCTATCCACACTGTCAAATGCCTTTTCATAATCAATGAAGCTGATGTACAGTGATGAGTTCCACTCAACTGATTGTTCGACGATGATCCGTAGTGTTGCAATTTAATCTGTGCATGACCGATCCTTACGGAATCCAGCTTGTTGATCTCGAAGTTGGGCGTCTACTGCATCTTTCATCCGGTTCAGCAAAACTCTGTTGAAGACTTTCCCTGGTATTGACAGTAGTGTAATGCCTCTGTAGTTTTCACATTTGCTCAGATCTCCTTTCTTTGGAATCTTGACGAGGTGTCCTTCTGTCCAGTCCAAAGACAACATTTATGGAGCAAATAACGTAACAGATTTCTAAAGTTGGAATATAAATTCTTGACTTTTCGAAGTGATGATAGACAAAAGGTTAAATGATAGTCATTATTTACAATCTAAATATGTTGAATTGATTACGGTTGAGAAATTCTAAATAATGATTGTTAATTTAGTATTATTCTTACTTGGTATTGTTTACTTGTATGTTCCCATTGTTATTTAGGACTGCAATTGATCAGTCTCTTGTTGGCATATTGTGCATCCTGTGCGGACTGCCTTGATATTGCCTGACGTTACAAGCTTTATAAGCAAAGATGGATAGTGGCTAGCAGTGGAATCTAGGACGCGCGTGATTTCAGGCAATATCGAGGTTGCCCGCGAAGAATGCACATATACCAACATGTGACTGATCAATCGCAGTCCTAAATAACAATAGGAAGATGCAAATAAAACAATACCAATTGAATATAACTTCATTCCATTGCACAAGCAGGTGGTTATCAGGACTCAGTAGCTAAGTAGATACCAAGATAGCGTTTGGTGCATACGGTACTGTGTTCGAATGTCGGAGTAAACATCAACTTTGAGATGCAGGTACATCCAGCTGATGAGTTCCAAATAGAATGAAACACCTATCCAGAATTCTACTGCCAGGAACTATCCATCTTTATTTATAAAGTATTATTCTCTTACAACAGGATCAAATACTTCTATTTAGATTTGAAGAGAAAATCTATTAGGAGTTTTTAAATAGATTTGAAGTAGCTAGCCTATAAACTGTTTTCTTCAGAAATTTCTAACTCATTAAATCAACCTGTTAAAATCAACTATACTTTAATAGTGTTTCATTCATTGAATTGTAGGGTAGCTTTCATTATCGTTCTGAACATTATTATTAGTGTCTACTTCAAGTAAAAACAACGATCATTATAAAAGCGTTTATCTAAGCTACAAACTTTATGTATCATATCCTAGCTAATCTTTTACGTCGAAAAAAGCTCCCACTTGTATAATAAAAACAATATAAGCAATAACCTGGTGTAGGGATTCGATCTTCTGGAATAACTTCAAATGCTTCTTCCATTTCAGTTGTTTGCTGTTTTTCACTATTATCATCATTTAATAAAATCTACAAGAATATATTAAAAAGACAATTATATAAACAAATAAATTAGTAGATTAGTATCAGAAGGGGTTTTGTGGAGATTGTAGTAATTTCAATAGTTCAGATCACGAGTCAACTGAAGCTAGACCACCATGGAAAACCTGGAAACACTGGACAGCCGTTTTGTCCCATTGTGGGACTCCTCGGTAGTGTGTATCCACGACCCCGCCTCACGGGTTTTGAACCCAGGACCTGTCAGTCTCGCGCCAGGCGCTTAACCAAATAGATCACTGAGCCGGCCGGCATCCAACGGTGTTAATGTCTAACTTCAACTAATCCACGAAATTGAGTGACACATCCACCATTGTCATCAGTGAGTTACTACCTCACAACTGACCCGGTTGAACTCCACTGGTCAGTGCTTCTCACTAGAACTCCAGGATATATCTCTTGAAACCAGTCACTAGTGAGCATATGTTGATTCGTATCAGATGGGGTTTTGTGGAAATTGTAATAATTTCGTGATCTCATCTATTGAAATTAGTAGATTTTAGAATATCCAATAGTTGTATGAACTATGCTGTTGATGTTATTACCTCCTAATTCTAAGTGATTATATTTTCTATCTTTCGATCAATCACTTCAAAGATCTTTAAGTATTCTGCAGAGATTTTTCTTCTTTTGTCAACAATGTAGATTATTATGAAATTCATGGAACAACTACTTCACTATACTTCTCAATGAAACTTGCTATAACCTCTAAGAAGTTTGACAAAATGTTGAAGACTGTTTATGCAAATGGTTAGTTCAAGAAAAAAGACAACAGTCTTTTCAAGTAAATTAAGCGTTTCATTGTGAGATACTGTAACGAACAGATTGAGGATAACTTAAGAATAGTAGATCGTATAATAGTAGTCTGTAGGTTAAGTGGAAGCTTATAATAATAAGAATATGAGTATACATATAATCCAGTTACTGAATAGTTATCCAATAAGAATACATATAACAACAGTCTATAAATAATTCCTAGTAGTTACCATTCACTTATTCTTCGTTAGGACATAACAGTTATGATCTCTAAAGCATTCCGATAAATACAGCGCTAACACGAAAATTATTCACAAATAGGTCATGTGTGACCGACCTCAAGTAGTTGTCCTTTGAGCATTGAGGTCACATTCTCAGGTCACTATGACCACACTTAATCCAATTTCCTCTTCAGGTACCTCTAGAAGAACCCTTCCACAGCGTGGGCACCCGTGAATTGACAAATGCCCTCATACCTCAAACAGCACTCGAGATCACTGTATTCATAATCAGTCTCCGACAAATTATATTCTGTAAATACAACTGACTAATAATTTCCAATCATTTAGCTAACCACTATCTATCTTTGCTTATAAAACTTGTGACTTAGGACTATATCGAGGCAATCCACACAGGATGCACATATGCCAACATGAGACTAATCAACTGCAGTCCTAAATAACAATAGGAAGATACAAGTAAAACAACATCAAGTGAATTTAGATACAGGTTTAAATATTCTTTCTTTTTGAACACATAGCAACAATAAGCAAACTTATAACAAACAACCATCACAAAAGAATGTTAAACATACTTCTTCTATTTTATTTTCATTGAATTGATTCTCTTCAATCAAAGTATCATCTTGTTGAATCATTTCACCGCTGACTAATTCACTATTAACTTTAATTTGATACAATATTCATAATTGTAATTGTACTTACTTGATTTTGATAATTTACATGGATAATATGATTGACATTTCAATGAATAATTATCATATTTCATAAAATTAATTAAAAATACACAATCAGACAGAGTTAACACTTTTGGGATATCAAATGTAATATCAATCTCAGGGAATGTGAATTGTTTAATCCTACATATTGGAGTAAAGGGGAGACAAGAATAATAATAATAATAATAATAATAATAATAATAATAATAGTAATAATAATAGTAATAGTAATAATAATACTAGTATAGGGGTTGTGGAGATTATTAAGTTTTTGATTGAGATCATGGACCAATTGATGTTAGACCACGTTGGAAACCTGGAGGCACTGGACGGCCGTTTCGTCCTATTGTGGGACTCCTCAGCAGTGCGTCCACGATCCCGCTGGCGGGATTCAAACCCAGGGCCTTCGGTCTCAATCAAAAACTTAATAATCTCCACAATCCCTATACTAGTAATCAACAAGTGCTCACTAGTGACTAGCTTCGTGAGGGAATTCTCGGAGTTCTAGTGAGAAGCCGTGATGAGTCGAGCTAATCCATGTCGGGTAGAGACAGGTATCTACCTCAGTAAAATGGAAGTTGGTCGCACAATTTCATGGATTGGTTGATGTTAGACACTATCACCATTGGATGTCCGCCAGCTCAGTGGTCCAATAGGTTAAACGTTCGCGCACGAGACCGAAGGCCCTGTGTTCGAATCCCGCGAGCGGGATCGTGGATGCGCAATGCTGAGGAGTCCCACAATAGAACGAAACGGCCGTCCAATGCTTTCAGGTTTCCAACGGTGGTCTAACATCAATCGGTTCATGATCTCAATCAAAAACATAATAATAATAATAATAATAATAATAATAATAATAATAATAATTTAAAACAATTAGTCCTTTTGATAAATTTCGATAATGCAATGAGAAGATGAAGTTTATCAGAATTATGTGATGATAGATTTGAGTAATATATTTCGGACAATCTGATCACACCTAATATACATGTTAAGAACATTTTTATATGAAAATGAAAAGGTTAACTAGACAGGTTAAAGGTAAGCCGTAACTAAGAAAACAAATAATAAAGTACACAAAAACAAATGTGATTACCACTCTGTATAATAAATCAGTATTACCAGGGTAGGTTAAGGGTAAGGACAAATTGTTTTTAAACACATAAAGCGGGTTTTAATTTCCGTATAGCCAAAGCTTCAGTAAACCTTAGTAAACGTCCTTGAAGGCTTTTGTATAACACTACGAATGCTGACTTGATATCAACCTTATGACCCGTCTCAGTCAAATATTTCGCAATGGAGGATGATGTCTGTCTATCCTGTGAATGTATTTAACCGTTGGAATTCATCTGATTCTGCAACCATTTTGGTATATGTTCACCCACCCTTAATTGCAAATCACGATTGCTCCTCCCTATGTACGTGTTCCACACATACATGTGAATTGATAGACACAATTGGATGTGACACAATCGCTTTCGTGCTGTTTGGGCTTTTGGTGAAACATAGACCTTGTCTATTCGATAATGAACGAAATACACCCATTATGACATTAAATAAGAAAGAAAGATTAGATTCGATAATAACAAGTTGAGCTGCATAAAATGTCTGATTGATAGCTAATTTAAGTCTCCATTTCAACATGAGACTATTTGTGTTGCCTCTGAATTGTAACGTAATATAAACTCGCTTTTTGGGTGCCAGAAGCGTCATAGGTCTAATCGTATTGCAACCCTTCCAGCGGTCTATGAACTTCAAAGGATAACCACTATTCACTAACATATCAGCCAAGAGCTTAGTCTCTACTTCAGTTGTATCACTAGTACAAATACGATTGATTCTATTGAATAAGCTCTTTATTAAACCGCGTTTGTAATGAATAGGGCAGCGATTATGAAAATTAAGATATTGTCCTGCCCATGTTATTTTTCCTTTGTTACGGCTTACCTTTAACCTGTCTAGTTAACCTTTTGATTTTCATATAAAAATGTTCTTAACAAGTATAAATGTGATCAGAGTGTTCGAAATATATTACTCAAATCTATCATCACATAATTCTGATAAACTTCATCTTCTCATAGCATTATCGAAATTTATCAAAAGGACTAATTGTTTTAAATTATTATTATTATTATGTTTTTGATTGAGATCATGAACCGATTGATGTTAGACCACCGTTGGAAACCTGAAAGCATTGGACGGTCGTTTCATTCTATTGTGGGACTCCTCAGCACTGCGCATCCACAGTCCCGCTCGCAAGATTCGAACCCAGGGCCTTCGGTCTCGTGCGCGAACGCTTAACCGACTGGACCACTGAGCTGGCGGACATCCAATGGTGATAGTGTCTAACATCAACCAATCCATGAAATTGTGCGACCAACTTCCATTTTACTGAGGTAGATACATGTCTCTACCCGACATATATAAATGCTCTTAACAAGTACATTATGTGTGATCAGACTGTTCGAAATGTATTGCGCAAATCTATCATCACATAATTCTGATAAACTTTGTCTTCTCATTGCACTATCAAAATAATAATAATAATAATAATAATAAACAATTATATACCTTGGATTTTTAGATAAATTACCCCAGATACACAATACAATCCAATGATTATACCAAATTTTTTGTAAATTTAATGTTTCATGATCTTTATAATAAATAGCTTTTGTTAATAGATCAATAATAGATCTATCTAATTTCTCATCTATTTGTTGCCTTAATTCATGTATCATCTAAAGATGATAATATAAATATAAATATAAATAGATTGACTTACATGATTGTATTTGAACAAATGAAGTTGATCTTCATCATGATCCGTTAGTTCAGAAATCAATAAGTTTAATTCATCAATAATCTATTCAGTTAGTTACTAAGACATCAATTATTGACTTACTTTAAAACTTTTTATACAATCATTCATAACATCTTCTATAGATAGATGTTGTTCATCTGAATTCCATAAACTGATATATGTATTAATTTCTCTTTCATTAGTTGGATTAGGTAAATCATTACATTGAAAATATCTTTCCCACTAAATTATATTACTATTAATGATTTAAGTAGATTATTATTTTACGGTATATTGATCATGACATTGTATTTCAAGTTGATGTAAACGTTTGTTTAATTGACTGATCAATATTCTTGTTTGTTTTAATTCTTCAACTCGTATCTTATGATCCTGAATTAAAAAGTTTATAAATTTTGCATTAGTGAATGAGAAATCATTCAAAACTTCTCGTCATAGTGTCGGGTATTTGGGAATATGTAGCCTAAAGAAGTATATGATGATATTTTATGCTATAACACTTTAAAACAGTGGTATGAGGCTAAAAATAACCAGTTTATTAATTAGCGACATCTAGTAAAAGGTGGCAATAATCATCAGTTAGCAGAGAAAAAAGGAGAGACTGTCCCGTAATAAGACTGAGTTAAAGTTGTCAATACTTATGGTGAGATTCCTCTGAACACTTGTCGAGTTACATGTTTAACTAACAATTATCACTGGCTATATTAGCTCTCACATAATTACAATAAAACTAGTTAAGTTATATTGTTACATGATATTTTGTCTATAAATGAATCAAAAGTCCTTTCGTTTAGAAAATTAGCGATGTAAAGGTATTGTTACTACTGAAGTGACAATATTTAAGTTGATTTTATTGCACATTGAAACAAATCCTTCCACACATATTTGTGCTTCTTAACAAATAATAATCGGTTAAAGTTATGGATGTGAATTGTCGGGTACAAACTCAATGGTTTGCTGACTCAAATCTAAATACTTTCCAATTTTGCCAACCATAGGATATCATTAATACTTACATGAGTCTTTACTTTGGTAGATGATTTGCACTTTATCTACTTAAGTCTGTTATCCGCCTCATGTGATAGGCTGCCGAGAATAAGCCTCCAAGTAAGCCTTTCCCAAGCCCTTCTTTTCAGTTGTTACCAATTGCTATTGCCTGTCTTGATATCTAACTCTGAAACCCAGTCTTAAAATAATAGGATAATTCACCTATACTTCTACTTTTTTAACCAAAATTTGCATATTTCTTCATGTTTTAATTTACTTTGCCATTTTTTATTAAAAACTCTGTGATTAAAGATTCAGTTAGTGCACTTAGAAGTAACGCTAAATGTTATCCATCCGAAAAGTTCTAGACATAGAAGTCCTACTAAATCATGAAAAACAAGTTACTGTCGTATAAGACTGATTTTTCCATTCTTGATATTCACTAACTAATGGTGGTTTGAAAGAATTATCATTCTGTTGGGATATTCAGGAAAATATCCCAAAAGTTATCCTGTTAAGCCTAATGCTATCCTTGGACATGTAATGGTATCATCTTATTGGTCAATATTTGTTTGACGTGTCATTTTCCTACTGGCCATTATTGTACAATGTTATTTTCTACTTTATGTTACGTTGTGGTCTGCTTGACTGGTATATAAACAAAGTATGTTTGAAATATAATGATTCATATATCCGAGGCTGTGACTTGTGTTCTGGACTTAACTGGCTGGGCTAGACAGGGAAGCGGGGCCAATCAGAACCCTAGGTCGTTCTACGTGTTTGCGTGTCTTTGGTCCGATCAATAATTCGCTACCCCTTAATCCGCAGCATTATTTTTCACGTTATAACACATTCAGACTTATAGTTTGTGCCTTAAATCTTGATCAGTTCTAGTCCCATCTGATTTCATAGCCTACAAACATTTTGCCATGTTAAAATGTGTCGTAATAATGAGGTTCTCAGTCTGTAAGAACTCCAGAAGCTGAATTCGACTGAATGTTCATGTTCGGGACACATCAGATCATAGTTGCAATGTAATTTCTAAGGAAGATGAAAACATAAATACAAACCAAGTTAGGCACAACGGACTCAGAGGTGGGGGTTACAATTATATAAGGTCTTTATGGTCGTTTTTTGAATGAAAAAAATGAAATTTCACGGCGTCTTCGAACTAATTAACCACCGGGTAAGTAACAATTTTTATGTTAGTCTCTAATCTATGCTTCTAAGGTAATGAATAATCAGTGAATTTCAGATTTACGCATTTGAAGAGTATAGTTTTAATAAGGATTCTACCTATCCAAGCTTTAAAACATTAAAATATTCCATTATGCAAACCATAAAAAAGTACCAATAGGCAATACAAACAAAAGTGATATCGCTTAACCGGAATTTCGTACATCTCCAGAATAAGATCTCATATAAACCACCATATGTGGTTGGTTTGGATAGGCTTACTTCGGAGCTCCGTTTACCTATCGAGTTGCACACATTCAAGACTTTTACCAAAATAAACCATAGTTTTGTTTTAATCAATCAGTATTAGAAGAACAGTGGTATTTTTCCTCGCTGAGCAAATTCTATTGTTTTGATCGTTGATTATGTATCAAGACTACTGTTTTTGCTTTAATTCAATTTATTTCAGTTAAAGTATTCCATTAGAGTGTCCTTTCTGTTTCTAAAGTAGTTTGTCGTTGGTACTTTTGAGTATTTTATTTTCTATTGTATCTGTTAGTACTTTTGGTCCTAACAATCTACGGTTTTCCACTTTTTTGGTCATAGATCATTTTTGTCTCTAAGTATTATTGCACCTAGTTCTTTTTTAAAAAAAAGGCCCCTGTTTAATGACTGGACAGTGCAAAAAAAGCAATTGCCAACGTCCGGGACCTCGTTGAAAGCGGCATGTAGTGCGATGAGTGCAAAGGCTGGTACCACGAAGTTTGCACGAATTTAACACCTGCGGCTTTCAAAAGGTTAAGTAAAAACGGTTGCGTATGGCCTTGTCAACAGTGTTGTTCGAATTCAAACAGCTTGCTAACCGAGGCCATCTTATTGGTAAATGCTGCGAAAAAATGTTTTGGCAAGCGCGGTCGGGACACATAGGACAGTACTCGCTCTGTCGACACGCAAATTGGTGTGAAGCAAACTCAGATGAGTCCAGAAACAACTGACTCACACCGACCAAAGGAGGAAAAACAGTCTTAAAATACGTCTGTCTTAACTAAAAACTCAAGAAAAGAAGATTCTTTAGTCCCCTGTCTTCTAAATAGTGTCCAACAGGAAACGCCTAGAAGCCGCAATTGCAGGGCTCGATGGATTTAAAAGACAGTGAGCTTCTGGAAAAGGTCCTTAAAATAGCAACTAAGCTAAATCCCGGAATAGTAAAGCTTCCGTACGGTGCTCGACCGGCCAAGCTAAACCTATTCCCGTTGTCATTTCGTAGAACTAGAGGCGAAATGATTACAGATTTCAAATCGCTTAGTGATAAATTTGCACCTGATATGCGCTCATTTTTCTTGTCTTCCGAAACAGAGAATTAACGAGGACACTCAAAAAAAGTTCACAAGCCCAGAACAAATTACTTGTCAGCTGAATATCGACTTCCCCATCGAATCATCAACGAGTGGAATTCATAACCTCAGTATGTGGTTGAGGCTCCACCCGTCAACTCTTTCAAAAGAAAAATAGATCGACTGAAAGATCACCATTGCCAGGACTAACACAGGCCATCAAGCCTCCTGTCCTTTCCAAATTGAAACTAGAACTGAGAGAAAAGCTTTCGAAATTATATTCAGTATATAAGGTATTAAAATTTCAACCTAACGAATACCATCGTTTTAAGAGACTATGATTATAAAGCACCCCATAAAACGATTAATCTCTAGGATCTGCGGACCCACTTTGAATGAAATAAAGATTTATGAGTATTTCTATTGAATAACTGAATGCATAAGAAACGATATTTAGTACAGTTCATTGATATAAAAACTCTGCTTGGAATATCATGAAAAACATGTACACTGTTTGCACATCATCTAACCTCTTTTTCTTGCAGTGCTTTGCGCAATTCTAGTTCTTTTTCTTTCCTAAGTCGTTCTCTCTCTTCTTCAAGTTCTTTCAGCCTTGTTTCGTCTTTTCAAAATGAAAATAAAAAATCATCGTACCAACATCATTTATTTTTTTATTGGAATCTTTGTTTCTCTTTGCTGTTTGACTGGCCTTTCTATAAAATAAAGAAGCGATTTAAGAATACCATAATCCACAAGTTTTCAAAAGTTTGCGTATCTACTGTTATGACACTACAAAGTAAAACAAACAGAATATATTGTCCAATTGTGAACATGTTTTACAATATTAATCCAGGCATCTTCATATATTTCAACTTTGCACTCTGGTGTCGCAATAATGGACGAGAACAAGATGTCAGTTATGGGCATTTTTGACATTTGTCCATCTCTTTGTAACAGTATAATATAAAGTACTTTAACTGACTGTGCGACGAACAGATATTAGAGACAGTCTAAATGACCAGGTCAACTTCCAGGGCTTGTTGTTGGCTATACGTTGCTCGCTTAAACACACTTGGTTTTTCATGATTTTGGTTACAAATAGGCTTGGTATTTGGCTGAATATTGTAGATAAGTTGCTCATTAACACATGTTTGTCAGACACAGAGTTGATAAGATTCCCAATCACAAAGTCTGCCTGTACTAAGGCCCTAGAGATTTCGCTTTATCAGGCCGCAATTATGAGGGACATTTGGCTATATTTCATCGAACCTCACTCGTCTGCGCAGAGCATATTCAGCTCTAAGCCTACTTACTGAGAAGTGTGGGTTTAAAGATGCCACAAGTGTTCAAATCTTGACAGCGCCATTATTCGTAATACCTTTAATAATCGAAGTATACTAACCTAATCAAATCAGAAGTCAGGAATAAAGAAGTTAAAAGATATATTTAGAAGGCTATTGGTATGTTTAAGAACGTTTGTTCTGAGCTGAGTAAGTGTTGAGTGGGATGCATAGCACGGCATACTCTTAATCTGGTGCAATTGTGTGACCGAACGTCTTCAGATAAGTGAGTCCAGTAAAATTAATGCGGTCAGCATCAAATGCCGAACACTCGCAGAACTATTTACTTTGGAGATTTATTTGTCGCTACAAGTTAAAAACACAATTTGAGAGAAACACTAGACAGGCAGAGTTGATATAACAGCAAGTTATCTGATCGCTCAAGAACTCCGAGTCATCTGAATATAGCCACATATATTATGTTCGGGCAGTCAGTTATTATAAAAGGATAAAAACAGAATTGAAAGAGTCATGAAACATGAAATGAACAACTGACGAATTTGTGCATATAACGTATATGTTGTGTGGTTTTCATAATTTAGGTTAGCACTCTGTAATTTGCATCTGGCACTTAATTGTTTATCCACACTTGGTCTACATCAATATCCATCTTGAAGCCAGTCACTAGTCAGTACATAATTTCATTTCATTTTGAAAACTTAGTTGTTCTTGAGCTGTACAAGTGTTGAATCGTCACATATTAAACGATGTAAGAAAGTTTAGTAACTTGAAGTTTATCAGAATATATTCCTTCATTGAACTCAGAAATCAAATAGCATAGTTTAAGAGTTGGAGTTAGTATCCTAGTGCTTAAATAGAAACACGAAATTCTTGGTTCAGTTCTATCCCCAAACTTACGCTTGTTACCCCTCCTCGAGATGTATGGGACGTCCACCAACATTCTCCATCCAACTCTGTTCTGGATAATCCTTTCCAGTTCTCAGCTAGTTATCACGTAATTTGTTGGCCAATCGAAATGCGACTTATTCACACTTGTACTGTACTAAACCAATGACTTTCTACCGGTTTAATCAGCCTAGCTTCCTATTGATCGTCTGTCCTCCCAGCGTCCTTCCAACTGAGGCCAGAAAGCCAATACGAGCTTTCACTATACGAATGATTTATTTCAAACATACTTGGTTTATATACCAGACAAACAGACTACATCACATCATAAAATAGGAAATAACTTTTATACAAAATAAAGCCAAAAATTTACTGTGAATGTGGGAAACTGTAATTAATTAACTGAGTATAATTTAAGAATAGTAAATCGTACAACAACAATCTATAGGCCAAAACAAAGCTTATAATAAGTGAAATACAGATATGCACAATCTGAATAGTGAATAGTTATACCATAAGAACATATAGATAATATTATTGCTTTAATATGTCTCAATAGTTAATCGTAATTTAATCTTCACTGGCATATAACACTTTCCATGTCTACGGCAACACTATAATTTATAGACAAACTAATTAAAGTTAAAATAAACTGGATTTTGGCGCAAAATCCGTCCACCCCTTTGACTAAATACCCGTCAGTTCGTGATAAAAAGATTGAATCTAATTTTTCACCCTAACGTTCAACTCTAAATACGAATTCTAATTCCTCACACTATTTTATAACCCTCATTTGGCCCTAGTAAATCGGTGAACATTTTTAAAGTCATGCTAACGTTGCTCGAAGGTCATTCGTAAATTATATTCTAACCCGATAATACCATTTTTTATACAATGTGAAAAATGTTTTTTGATGAATAAAGGATAGCTGTTAGAACTTGATATTAGTTAAGTGAGTTAAACATAATATTAAATGCAACACGTCCAACACATAAGAGTATTGAACTAGTCGCGTTGCTAGATATGAATGACTGTCGACCTTCTACATCGATGAGAGTATTGAACGCGTGTAATCTTTTTTGGTTTTTAGTCCTTGATTCTTCATTCGAGTAATTACTGAAGAATAGTCTATGCTTATGATCATATTCTTACATTTTTGGTTGGAAAAATGGCGTGTGGTAATCTTTATAAAGTTACTGTCTGTTAAACATTAGTTGAGAAAGCATGAGTATTGTATTGACTAACAAGAATGCCTTCAGCAATCTGATCCATTCATTAACCGATCAATATAGACTGTTGTTATGCAAATTAATTCTGGGTTGAAGTTTAAGCATCTACGATTTTTGATGACTGCTACAACAGACTCAGTTTTGCAATATACCCCAGACGAAATACCTACAATCGGTTTAATGAATTAGGAATTTTACAATCCTACAAAATTATCTACACATAATTCCCGAACATTTGTTACCAGCTATTTCAAGTATCATATCGAGTTTTATATATTAGTTGAGGTTAAAACTCATCAAATATGACTCATGTACCAAAGTCAGTCAATTCACTAAGTAGATCACCAATGTAGATTTTTCATGTCCAATGAGTGGGGGTCCACTCGAGTTAGATGGAAATGATGTGACCAACAGCTAACTTTAAAGTCACACCTCGAGGTCAGCACCTAACTTGGATTACTTCTTCGTCGTATCACGGTACTATGGATGCTTTGAAGACCGTATAACACAAAGGACGTTACTACAGAAATATATTTGTCAAAGCAGGTACAGGCAAAATTGTGTTCACCACCGCATGGGCCAGTCCATAGCACACGATTAATTGATGCACGTTGGTTGTCTTTGACTTTGTCAGGGATCGATGACTCAACTGACGGATGATTTGGCTAGGGCTCAGTGACATTTTACTAGCCCTACAGATTCTACCTATCAATCCTTAAATTTTATCTCATCAACCTAACGTAAGTCTTAATAACTTCGCAATTATTTTGGCTGTACAGTTGTGAGCTGTAAACATATCTTAAAGAACAGTTTAATTACTTGACAAAACTGATATTATCCAACACAATAAAACTATGAAGCTATTTTTTTTAAAACTGTATCACAAATGGTCTCCCTATAGGAGTAAAGTATGTATAGTACCATCTGTGCATCCAAACAGATTATGTAATGAAAGTTATGTAATTGAATATTGATATATAGAATTATGCATAGTTACTTGATTGTATTGTTGTGAATTTATATTTTGAAAACAGCTGTCCGTAAATGGATCTCATTAAAATTCCTTATGAACAAAAAAACAAGAGAACTAATTCTTATTCACAATAGGGAATAACATTATTAAAGTTGTCTATTCTTAGTTAATCATTATTATGTATCTTATTTGTTATCATTTTCTTTTTTGTGAAGATTTCTTATATACTTTGAAGAAATGAAATGCTTTATTTGAACTATTCTATAATGAGAAGGATGAACTGAATAAATTTAAGTTATGTTGATGAGATTATAATTTATGGATGACCTTTGAGTGACGCTAACGTGACCTTGAGAGTGTCTACTTAGTAACTAGGACCGAATGAGGGTTAGAAACCAGGGTGAAGAATTTGAATGATGATTTAAAGTTGATGATTAAGATTAGGAATTAAATTTAGGGTTTTCATCACAAAGTGACATAAGTTGTAATGCCAAAAATTCTATTTATCCGAATGAATTAATTTCCTCACAATGAAATAGAATTAGTCTCTACACATAATAGGTAAAAGTACAAAGCCTGATGACGATCTAATTGAAAACAATTGTTCGCTGATATGTGTTGTTCTAATTTTCACAATGGGAATCTTTAATTATTTTCCTATCAAAATCAAAGACCTGCTATCTTATACGTGATTAGTTCGTCCATAAATTATAGTCTCAGCGATATGTTTACAAGAATGGATTTCTCAATACATTTCTTTTGTACAATCACTGATCTGGACAGAAAATTAGAGAGATGAAGCGAATAGAATAGAAAGGAGCGAAACGATGCTTAGTGGAGATGGCGGGTAAGCCAACTTCCATTTAACCAAGCGTTAATCAATATTTATAGTTACACAAAAGTAAGTTAGAGATACGTGATGAGTAATGAGATAAGAAATGTACACACATTCACACACAAATTCACTCATATAAAAACAGTCAAGATTGATAAGTGAAAAATTAACAAAGTCAGAATGTGACTCAAGAAGAATGAATAAATTGGCTTGTTCGAAAGCTAGAATAAGGTGGTATATGGGATTAACATTAATAACCAACACTACAGTTTGTACAGAACTCAATGAAAGGATTGTTTTTCAAACCTTATGATGTAATCTTAAATACTGATTTCTTATAGTCATATTCGTTTTGTTTCAGGACTGTAAAGAATTTAAACTTCGAGTCCGTAGTTTCATTATAAGAGTATGTTTTATCTTGGATATAGAAGATGAAATCCAACAAATTCATTGACATCTCAGGACTAACATATAAGTTAAGTATAAACTTGAAAGATGTAAGGCGATCAAGAGGATTACTCAGTTATCTTTGTTTTTGTTAATCTAGTTACCGATAGAAACATTTAAGATTTACTATTTTCATTTATCAATTAAATGTGAATTGTTTTGAATAGTCTTCGTTTTTCCTGTTACCAGCTAAACTGATCAAGATTCAATAATTAAGATCATGAGTCAATTGAAGCTAGACTACCATGGAAAACCTGAAGGCACTGGATGGTCGTTTCATTCTAGTACGAAACTCCTCATCAGTGCTCATCCACGATCCCACCTCATGAGATACCAACCCATTTGTACTATTAAAATTACTATGACATATGTTAAACCCGTTCTGATCAAGATTTTAATTAGACAAGAAATGATTACAAATTAAGTTAATCCTTAGATATTCGATTAGTAGTGTAGTTTTGATCTTTTAAAAATAAATGTATTGATTAGCTTGAAATATTATAGTCAGTTTTGACTGAACTCACAGCATATATCACAGTTCTGTGTTATCTTTCTAATAGTCTGGGATGAATACTGGAAGGATAATTTAAACCTTGCGTCTAAAAAATACATGATCAATGTATATATGTATATGTATATACTTCAGTCTTGTTAAGAATACTTTATATTTAAACTTCAATTGAATCCATTACTCTATTTATTTAACAAGTTTAACAAAACTTCTCAAACCTTCTTGAATATGACGCCCATATTGCGGATTCAGATTATAAAGTAGGATGTAGCCAATAAAAATGTTAGTGTTCAATTAAAAGTTTCTGTATAAAAATAACATGATACTGCTTATGCAAGCTTAAGGCAATATCGAGGCAGTCCGCACAAGATGCACATATGCCAACAATTGCAGTCCTAAACAACAGTGTAAAGATACAAGTAAACAATACCAAGTGAATTTAAACTTCACCCCAGCAGGTGGTTATCAGGAATCAGTAGCTAGGTGGATAACACGATATCGCTTGAAGTGAACGGTATAGGGTTTGAGTCCTGAAGCAAACATCAACTCTAAGATGCAGATACATCCAGCTGATGAGTCCCAAATGGGATAAAACGCGTGTCCTGAATTCCACTGCCAGCCACCATCCATCTTTGCTTATATAAAGCTTGTGACTTGAAGCAATATCAAGACAGTCTGCACAGGATGGGCACATACCAATAAGAGACTGATCAATTGCACTCCTAAATAACAATGGGAAGATATAAGCCAAACAATACCAAGTAACTTTAAGTGGATAAGTGGATAACACGATGGTATTTCAAGGGAATGGTGCTGTGTTCGAGTCCCGGGGTGAACACCAACTCCAGAATGCAGATACATTCAACTGACAAGTTCCAAATAGGATGACACGTATGTTAAACTGGATTCTACTGCTAGCCACCATCCATCTTTGCTTATAACATGTTACTATTTATATGGTATAAATGATGTTAAATATAACATACGTAATGTATTATGTAATAATTCATTGATAGGAAATCAATTAAAATGAACCAAATGTTACATTTGAAATGATGCATTATAATTTATTTCCATCAGCTATATACCAGTTATTATTCATTATAAAAATATTCCTAAAAGTTCATATTTAGTTCATTTTTTTTATATCAGATGGGTTTTATGGATATCATAGTAATTTCAATGGTTAAGATCATGAGTCATTTGAAGCTAGACCACCATGGAAAACCTGAAAACACCGGACGGCCGTTTCGTCCCATCGAGGGACTCCTCATCAGTGCGCATCCACGAAATCGCCCTCTGCGAGGTTCGAACCCAGATCCTACTGGTTCCGCGCGCGTGCTCTTAACCACTAGACCACTGAGCCGGCCGGCATCCAATGGTATTAATGTCCAACTTCAACTAATCCATGAAATTGAGCGACACATCCACCACTGTTATCAGTGAGTTACTATCTTACAACAGACCCGAAGGTACTCCACTGGTCACTGATTCTCATTAGAACTCCAGGATATACCTCATCGAAGCCAGTCATTAGTGAGCATATGTTGATTAATACCAGATGGGTTTTGTGGATATCATAGTAATTTCAATGGTTAAGATCATGATTCATTTGAAGCTAGACCATCATGAAAAACCTGGAAGCACTGGACGGCCGTTTCGTTATAATCTGGGACTTCTCAGTGGTGTGCATCCACGACCTCGACCCCTGCGAGGTTATTTTTTTATTTTTCAATATTTAAGTTTGAATTTTAATGAATCTTTATGAATGTAGACGTATTTACTTGATAAATCTTTGATAAAAAGAAATATATTTCCTGTTTTCTATCACTTAGAATGTACATATCTTATAATATTGATCGATTATATCAATAAGATAGATATAAACCCTTAGAATAAACGTCATAATTAACGTATTGGGTATTTGAATTCACTAGTACCATGTTAAGATTACATAGGTTATACTAGCTTCTTGACAAACTAATTTATTCATTCTTCTTAAGGTACATTTTCACCTTGTCACTTAAGTTATTTCTTTCTATTTAGCGTTTTTGTTTAGCGAGTTAGTTTTATATGGGATGGGATCGCTAACTCCATGCCCAACCCTCCTTTTTTTAACCGGGTTTGGGACTGGCAGTGGCTCAAGAGAGGCTCTAAGCGGAGTAGGCTCATTAGTTCTGAGTATTTTTATGTGATCGCATATGAGTGGATTGCTTGCCCTATTCATTACATGTTTGTAATTTATTTTTGATATGATTATAAATATTGAATAGTGATTGATTAAATCGAGTTGTCTCACTCGCTTTCTCCATTGAGCTCTCTCGCTCTCCTATTTGTTTCCTTCACTTCGTTTCTTTGATTGTCTGTCTGAATCAATGATTGTAGCAAATTTACATATTCAAAAATCCATTCTCATATTTAACTTATTTTTATTCCGTTATTCACTAACATTTAAATTGATAATTATATACGAGGATTGGTGTCCTGTCTATTTCAATAATAATCACTATATTATCTAATTGAAGTCTTATATAGAGACATTATAACTTCGGAATAAGACATAATGAAAAATGAGTTTGAGTAAGCATTAGCACTGGAATTCAAATAAACAAATAATATTAGTTTATCTATTTGAATACATGAACATTGATATAAAGGGGCATGGGATAAAAATGCACCACATCAGTCAGTTGATTTGTGTGTAGGATGTGATACTGACCGAATACCCAAACCGAAGCAGGTAGTTTTCTTTAGGGGGCCACATCCGGAGCCTTTGACCTAAAGGTCTAATCCATAAGGCAGTGTAGTGGCGTAAGAAGATGCAGTCCCATGATAGCCGGTGACCAACGATTAGTTCATAAGTCATTTGTTGCTGTTATGAATTGTGACCACTAATTAGAGAGCAGTGACTTATCGATCTGATCAATGACCCGTAAAACACATGCGAACAGTGTAGAGTTCGATTGACCCTGCTTTCCTCCTAGCCCAGCCAGTTAAGTCCAGAACACCAATCCGAGCCTCTGTGATATGAATCCTTATATTTCAAACATACTGGATTTATATGCCAACCAAACAGACCACAACGTACCAATAAAATATGCAATAACATTTGTACAAGAATTAGCCAGATGTGGCTGTGAATGCGGGAGGTAGTAATTAATATACTGGGTATAACTCAAGAATGGTAATACGCATAATAATAGTTTATGGGTCAAAATAAAGCTTATAATAAGAGGAATATGAATATGCATAGTTTAGTTACTTAATAATTATACAGTAAAAATATACG